CCCCCCACTCAACGGTCTATAAGAATAAGTAGTGACTGCATATTTGGATATTCAAAGCTCTCTGTATTGTATTTGGTTGTCTTACAAAGAAAAGTGTGTTCTGGGGTTTTGGCTTCAGTCATAGTGGTGAACTCAGAGAGTGAGTCACACGCTAAGCCACAGACTTCCTACAACCTATCTACCAACGGTCGAGACCAAGCGTTCCCGAATATTGGGTTCAACCCACAGGGATTATACACAAGGGCCACACGCCAAACTCAGAGTTCCCAAAAGGTTCTCAGAGTTCTGACCCTCTGTGCATCCGAGTCCCCTAGGGTCTCGGGACCAGAGCGAGCACTGTACGCCAAGGGTTGACACGTTTCACCGACTTCACCACACATGGGTCACATGTGGGGGTCGATGGGTTTTCACAATATCCGACGGACCACGGAGGACGAAGTACATCTCGATCACCAACATCGGGGACGATGTGTTGATCCTAGATCAAGCCCAACGGATCGGGATCTGGCTGGCCGGCGATCATGTGCCACAACATTGGAAGATATGGAGTTCGATGCCCCGCCTGGACCCGCGGTGGAGCGATCCGAGCTCAAAACACCGCGTGCAATACTCCAGAGACCGAAGACGACGTTGATCAAGTGTCGGAAGGTCGAGACGAGTGATGACAAGATGTTCCTGACTGCCTACATTCGGACAGCTCGCCGTCGGATACGTCGCCGTCGAACAAATCGCCGTCGGAGATTCAACCGTTGGATCTAGCGTCTGTCGCAAGTGAGGAGTCGGATCGGTCGTCTATTGCAGATGGAGACTCTATATCGCATGTTGTAACGGTCGAGGAGGCGCAAGATCTCACTGAAGTGGATCCACATTGGATCCATGCCTACCGATCGTTCGGTGCGCTTGAATCCAAGATCACCACTACTCCGATCCTGCGGCACTTTGATCCAGATCGGCGAGCTACGGTTGTGGTGTATGGTAGTGACTGGGCCATCTCAGGATCGTTGATGCAGGAATATGACAAGATCTATCATCCCGTGATGTTTGCGACCCGTACTCTGAAAACAAATGAGTTGAATTACGGAATTGCGGGGAAGGAGGTGCTAGTCTTGTTAAGGATCCTGGATCTTAACTACAATGCCTTGGTCGCACGTCTGATCCATGGGTTGACCCGACACTCTGGATCTTCAGATCTTAGGTCCTACAAGAACGTTTAGGTCAGTGGGCTGCTTTACTGTCGTTGTGGATTCTCGATATCACCGAATGTATCAAGGAAGAAGATGAGATCTTAGAAGCATTGCTAGCCAGTATTACGCCTAGACCTGAAGTGGATAAGGCATTAATCTCGATGGTTCCTAAAAATGAAGCCACGAGGCAAGTTCAACGCTCCGATCCCCACTATTAGACGCGACGAGGATCTATTTGCTGTCAGCTTTGACGAAGCCGCCCGCGTCAAGAGAGATGGAGACGCCTACAGCGCGAACTTGTGGAAATTGCCTTAATGGAGTGTACTAAAGGCTAGATCAGGCTATGCCGAAGGTCTGACAGTGAACGAAGCAGATTATCATGGGCTGATGATGTGTTTGGATCTACTGGAAGGCTTGAATCCACGGCGTCTAGTGATATGTGGAGACTCGAATCTGGTGATCCGACAAGTTCGGGGTGAGATTGATTGTAAAGCACCGGGTTTGACACTGCTACGCCAGAGGGTTCTAGGTCGACTACGAAATTGGCCAGATCATGAGTTGGTGCATGTTAAACGTGATTGGAATGATAGTGCCGATAGCTCGGCGAGTGCTGCGTTGCAATGACAGTGTGCGATCGAGGTTGAGCCTAAGAAGGAGATCCAGGATCTAGTGATTTTGAACCGGTTGGATAAGATCCTGGTAGTGAAGAACGAAGATGAGACCGCACATGTATCGGCTGTAACGACCCGATCTAAGGCTGGATCTGGAGCGCGGACAGGGTCCGATCCAGACTCATCACGTGAGGAATTGGTGAGTGAACTACGGATCGGGCGGATCCGACAAGCACAGGACGAGGGGTCGTGGATATGTGGGTTGAAGAAGTATTTGGTTGGGAAATCAGAGATCTGACACAAGAAGAATTACGAAGTGGATCAGTGAGATCTACTTGGCTACTGCCCAACAACCAATGAAGCTGCTGCGGATCGAGACAAATTGATGCGAATAGTACAGCAAAATATCTTGCATCACTATCATACAAGTCTGCGTCATCAAGGAATTGGTCGGGCCTATGATCGGATCCGAGATCATTTCCATTGGGTAGGGTTATATAAGAGCGTGCAACGGTACGTGGTAGAATGTGTCGATTTCGAAACAGGCAAAGGACGACCTCGGATCCAGGGTGAGTCGCCTGGTAAGCTTCAGCAACATATCCGTTCGAGTTCATTGCTATGGATCACATACCCTCGCTGCCAAGATCTCGCAATGGCAATACAGAACTGTTGGTCTTTGAGGATCTGTTCTTGGAGTATGAAATTGCCAAGGCTAGAGTCTCTAGATCTGCACAGACGATCGCCGAAACTTACGAGGAATGCGTTTTCCACAGATTTGGTGCTAGTGAGGTGATCCGGCATGATCGAGAACCAGGCTTCATGTGTGATTTGTTCAAGCCTTTCAACAAGATCTTGGGTCAACGTCAACGTGCTACTATAGCTTAACGACCTCAGACCAATGGATCCGCGGAACGGATGGTCCAGACAACCACCAGAGATCTTAAGATGTAGTCAGGATCTGGATCAACGTGATTGGGACGAATATGCGGAACGGCTCACCTTTACGAATAACACCGCAAGAGATCGGATCCGAGGTGAAATCCCTTGCTACATGGTACTTGGCTGGGATCCTAGATCTATTTTTGAAGCGGTGATCCCGATAGGAAGTACTCGTCGGCATGATCGAGATCCAAGAAGGTGACGATACAGTTGCAAAAGTATTACCAACGAGCATGAGATCAGGTTAACCAGTGCTTGCGCGAAGCCATCGTGGATCGATCTGACAGACACAATGATCTAGTACGTCCACACCCAGTGGATGCTGGATCAAGGACCGGGTTGTACTCGGACCGAGTGTGTGAAGAATATGCGAAGAAGCTGGTCCATCTATGGCATGGACCATTTCGTGTTGCAGAAAAGATTGGGGAGTATGCGGCGAATCTTGACATTGTAAGAGCAGCGTACAACATTTTTCCGGTGGTACATGTATCGAAGATCAAACCTGTCAGGGGGGTTCCAAATCGGTCCGCCTAGTGGAGTCGGATGCAGATCGATTTGACTTCGATAAAGCGCTTCTACCTGAAGATAGTTGGATCCAGGATCGGGATCCCGATGAATATGAAGTGGACCGAATTTCGGACATGAGTACTGGTAAAAGGACGAGATATGGACGGATCTACCGAGAATTCTTGGTACGCTGGCGTGGTTCTGAAGATCCAACTTGGGTGGGGAAGCAGATCTCAACTGCGGCGCCCTACGTTATGAGTTTCTGTGAGATCGCATCAATCGTAACAGATTTGGCGTGATGCAGTCTCATGAGGAACCGTGAGGCCTGGATTCCTACCGATGAGTTGGTCATTGGTGCGGCAGAACGGTTGAGGGATCTGCAAGGAGGTTGCAGATCGAGGGACAGGGCTTACATATAATTGAATGTGACAAGGTGCCGATTGGGGATCTATGTGGAGCGAATCGATGCAGATGTGGATATGGAAGAGAACGGAAAGCGAGGTCGAATTGTGGATCTATGGTTATATTGCCCAGGAGGTTATGGATCTAATGATGAACGACAAGTACCGGGGTGCTAGAATGAGTATCTGCAGGAAACAGCTTGTTAAAAAGCGAGCGGAGACAAGAGACGCCAATGGGCTAGGATCCAAGAGAAACCTAATGTGTATTGTGGTTATCGACTGCGATCTAGACGAAACGTTTAGAGAGACGTCTGGATCACTCTTGCGGATGAAGTGGCGGGGAATTGGGGTTTATTGCCGCCATGTTGAAGAATTTACGGACTAGACGCGTGATCCATTGGTAGTCGGAGAGCTCGTCCCCATCCCGGCCGCACCTGTGGACAACACATCCAAGGCGCCGCGTAGTTCCCGCCTCAGCTCTGTGAGCTCTTGATTCAAAGTGGCTAGTTGGCGAGTTAGGGACATGATTTGGCCTTATGCTCGGTGATCGAATGTTCCGCGTCGGCGTAAGCCGTTCGGGCGACGGTAACATCATGTTCTGCGAAGGAAAGAGCAGTTAGCAAGGTGATATAGTCCGGATCTAGAGAGTCGTGGAACTTACTCAGCTCTTCGCTTTGATTGCAATATCCCTTCTGACAGTTGACGGTCCCGATGATATTTTTTGCGGAGCAGCTCATAGCGCATTTTCTCCTGCTCGATCTCTTCACCTCCCTTTCGGATCTGATCTCGAAGTACGCCAGCTTCACGATCCTTGGTATGGACCTGGGCGTTTAAGTCATCACGTTCTCGAGAGATCTGAAGGAAGCGACCCTGAAGGTTGCTGTGCTCCGCGGTTAGACAATCAAGCTGGATCTGAAGAGCGGTAGACGATGGATCGGGAGAGATCACTGCGGCAACTTGTCGGGCGACCAACAAGCCCGCCTCTGTCTGGTCGAGCGACAAGCAAGTATGTTGGAGGACCGATTCGGTGAAATGCAGCTGGTCTGTCGCTGATCACGGGCACAGTCAGCAGCACCCCGCTGCTCTTGAAGGTCGAAGAACTCCTCGCCGGCATGTTCTCTCTCTTCCAGCAACCACATAACTGGAGACTCCAGATCCACGATCTGATCCTCGAGGGCGTGTATGTCGACGACGGACGGTTGCAGATTGCAAGGAGGCGGGTTGTTTGAGTCCATGGAAACCTGCAATTCGTCCTGCTTGTCACAAAGGCCGTTGATCGACCTCTGCATAAACGATATCGCCCGATCCTACTCCTGGATATAGTGGCGAAGGCCGTCCAGCCGATCCTGGTGTTCGACTAACGGCGGGTCTGAGCCTCGAGGAAGAGTCTGGATGGCCAGGGCGGCCGTAAGTTTGCCAACACGACGGAAGAGGCGCTTGGCGTACCGATGAAGTTCCTCGCGTGTAGAATGCGGACTCAGGCAATCCGCCACTCGAGGATCCGCTAGTGCTTGGATTGTTGCCAGCGTTGGACATTGCGGATCTGAAAACTGCGACGGATGAAGAATAAGAAACGTGTCTGCAGTGATCCGTTTGGGCAGTAACGACTACAGAAAGGAGGCGATTGTGGTGAAGTGGATTCCGGAAAATTGCAGAAAAGAAACAATCGGACCAAGAGGAAAGACAGGTATCGCCGGATCTACGAAAAATACCGTGGATCTAGATATGAGAAGGCATGATGGGCTCAGATCAAGCTGATTCGGGGACAAGTGGATCAATCTGGGGTGCCCTAATTATAGGCACCTGGTTTGGGTACGACTATACCTGATTCGGATATGATTACTCAGGACCAATTCGGATCAAGTAAACAAGGTATGTCATCGGCAGTGCACATCAAGATCCAAAGATAAGCGGCTACTAGAAGGAAAGGTACATGCATCCAGGTAGTAGAGGATAGGACGAACCAGGATCAAGAACTTAGGAATAACAGAGAATCGAATTGCATCATTGGGTACAAGTGGCTGGTTTCTTTATTTAAACCACACTTCGTGCATTACGGACACCTCGGGTCAAGACATATATCGACCCAACAAGATGATCTCGTATTAGGAATATTGTATTTAGTGTAGTTTGGATAACTGGATAATATATTGGTCAGATCCAACTACCGAGTACTTATTCTATACGTGCAAGCTCCGGATCCACGGCATTTAGTGCTTGGGCGGCTTCCATCGACCTCTCAACAACCCCCAAGATCCAGTCATAGGAACCTGCAGACAACTCAAAGGAATCGCAAGATCAACATCAACCAACCTCAAAGGAAGACACACACGAAGGCAACCTACCCGGCCAGATCCAAGATTCGCCACTGGTGGTCCACGGTCGATACTCACGTGGACCCCAGGTCAACTTACCTGGCAGCAGAGCGAAGACTTTCCTCGCGGCTTACAACATCCCTGCATCTCGTGAAGACATTCCAGATCTTCAACACTTGAACATCTCCTGGAGTTACCTGAGGAGCAAGATCCAGCCCTACCGACGGGTACGCAAGGCGAGGAAGTTCCGCTGATCACGGATCAATAGGAGTACCCCCACCTATAGTCGGTGTCTTGGGCACAGTGGCAAACCGGTTCCAGCACTCTCGCAGATTTGCTGCTCCCGCTCCACCACACTCGACTCAGTGAAGCCACGTGTAAACACGACTTCGAGAAAGTGTGGATGTCCTCTTCGAATTAACGTGTATTTGAATAGGAAAACTCTCAAATGACACGTGCATTATGATCGATCTTCAGATTGGTGCAAACGGTTTAACGGTAATGAGCTGCATCACAATCATGATGTATCCACGCATTCATCCTCGCATCCGTGCTTGCGTCAAGCTGACATGACTCCCGCCATTCGTGCACCTATTCTTGAAGATGCTACATTGGGTATTATGCCAGCTGCAACGTTGATGGGCTGTACGTACAAGACAAATAAATTCGGGATGCCTCTGTTAAATATTGTAGGCGTAACAGGTATTAACACGACCATATATTTGGCGCAGGCGTTTATGGAAGGTGAAACCAAAGACGATTATCTTTGGAGTCTAGCCCAACTGAAAAGCATTTTTACGTTGGAAAATATTACACCCCACCAAGTATTTTTTTCTGACTGTGACGGCGCACTCACGAACGGGTTTGACGGACTTTGGCACGAGATACCAGTAATTCTCTGTGTTTGGCACATAATTGCTGATGTACGAAGACATGCTCTTCAGAGTTTCGTATTTTTAAGGGAAGAAGATCTAGACGAAAGTGAATCTGAGGAAACAAAGTAGGAGGAAACTGCATTTCAAATTCGCAAGAAAAAGGTTGTGGATTCAGAAAAAATATAAGAGTATATCAAAGGTTTTAAGTCGTTAACTAGATCAACCACAACTGCCGAATATGAATTTTGGCGCAGGGAGACCCATCGCTTCTCACCCACCGAAGTCGTCTACGTAGAAACTACCTGGTTGTCTCTGTGGAAAATGCGCTTCGTCCGTTGTTGGACAATCCAACATGTCCACCTTGACATTTACGCCACATCTACAATAGAAAGCTACCATTCGTCTCTCAAAAAGTGGTTGAAAAAAGGGCAATCTTGTTGACATGTATGCAGCCATGAACAATTGGTGGAGAATTTCAATCAAGGAGCATCAGAAAAAACGATCGCAAGAAAGAGTGAAAGTCCAAAAACGTTTTCGAGGACCACTGTTTGTTGACGTTTTGTATATTGTACACAGTTTTGCGCTGCTCAGATGTGTTGACCAACTTGACTGGAACACAGTCAATTGGTGCAGTAAAGTGTTTTCTCATTCAAATGGGCTCCCATGTGCACATTAACTAAAACAATTTGATCATAAAAACAAACCGCTCCAAAAATATGAATTTCATGTGCATTGGCACATTGACCGATTTTCTGAACTCCCACCTCCATGAGCCGTAGTATTTGAACCACGAATCCAAACGCGCCGCACTACACTTAAGGAACAAAAGATCGTCCACAAAAAATGATGTGGAAAGTCTTGAACAAGACGATATCCAAGTGTATTCGAGCTCACTGAGGCCGAACGTAATATGGCATCAGCACCAAAAGTTCCATCCACCCACGAAGCAAGCTTCAACACAAAACTATGCAATCAGAAGCTTCTCTGCATTATATCAGGAATAATTTCTACGATTCTACAAAACTGCAGTTAGTAACTACAGGTTTTAGATAAACGCGTAACCAGATTTGCCCTGTTCGTTTGCTTTCGATTTCAATGTTGCCATATCTTACTAAGGTCTTGTTCGACTAGCCTTTATCCAGCTGGTTTAGGCTCGAAACAGGTGACCTTACACATAGGTATGACTGCACTACTCAAAAAGTAGCAAATTCTCAGACCCGCAAAGGTCTGAGAATGGCGTGTGCAACCTCTCTTGAGAATGATCCTTTCGTGCTACAGTTACGCTTTGGGCCCAGAAGTCTGAGAACCACAGCGACTGCTCTTGGTCTTGGGTGATCCGAGAATACACTGTCCGAGCGAGACTTAGGCTCGAGCTCGGCAGGTTCCAGTCTGGATGTGCTTTAATGAACTCGAAATGCCCCGATTTTCTTGATATTCGGCACAGCACACCACACACACTTGTCCACTTCTCTTCCACGGCCTTGAACTTGGCCGTTAACAGTTCCTTCTCTTCTTCCGCGCGGTCAGAACTAGGACTGCGTTCCGGGATCGTCACTCGCCTCTCCGATCCGAGAGTGGCTGGGAGTCTATGTTGGTCTGCCTTGGACCTCGTCAATTCCAGGACCCTCCGCTTGTCCTGGGACGTCGCGCACCACGTCTTGTTATAGGCGAAAACAGTCAAAGTCAATTATGGCTGAGAATGTACTCT